TGGGACAGACATAGTGAGGGATCAGTAATTTTGTGTGGCTGGAACACAGAACACTTGGAGGTACCTACTGAGAGTTAAGGATAATTTGGGGCCGCTTCAAGGAAGATTATACAAGTGCTGTTCTGTATTTTACTGAGTAGAGAATAGGGAATCAAAGATTTCAGAGCAGAAGGGTGATACACTTGATTGGAGCATGGTTTTAGAAAGATTTCTCTGGCAGGCTGGAAAATGATCCACTGCTATGAGGCAGGATGAAAGTGGGGAGACTAGTTTAGAGGCAACTCCAACAGTTTAAGTAAAAGATAATCAGGTACTAGACCAGGGTAACATCGATGCCATAATAATTTGTTTGATTGAAACAGAGTACCCTGCCTTCACTACTTATTAGGGTCTTCACAAATAAATAAAAACACTCACAGATTTCAAGAGTGCGAATTTCATATTTCTCAGCAGGGACCCTGGTTCAGGTGATAGGTTTTGAATAATGACATGTATGATTAAGATGAAATGCATCACCTACATTTAACAAAATTTACAGATGCATATGGAAAAGTCCTTGATGAACAAATATGCTATACAAAAGACATTATTACTAGCCATGTAAACCACACCCAAAGCACAGCTCTGCTAATGTCAGTCTTCGGATCTAGCAATACCTAACCAGGCAACACGAACACATCAATTCATTGTGGAGCACTATTCTAGGATAAGAAGAGAATCTCTCCAAATTTTCTGAAGCTCCTTGGTATTTATGTCTTATAATTCACCTGCAACCCCTCTGAGCTCTTGTTAAAGGACTTATCGAAGATGACTGTGCCCGTACTCTGCCAAGAGTGTGAACTTCATTTCAGCACCTTGAATCCAATTTCTCGAAAAATAATTTTTAAAAACACTTCTTCCTGTGCTTTATGTTTTTGTGGTATGCACTTTGTGACGCATACAGCTGTGTTTTGGACCGTACTTGGCTACGTAAGCACTAGATAAAGGCTATTTTCTTCCATTACCTAGTTCTAGTAGTATACTAAAATACATAAAGTTCTCTGCAGTAAACAGAACAATTTTTATAATCATTTCACTTAATCCCTAGGATATAATCAGTTTTAAAATTGTTATGTCAAAAGGGCAGACAGAGCTTTAAATTATTTAAATTATTTCCTTAAAAGATAAAGAATGATACAGCCTATATTTACATCACACCTTACCTCTTACGGTTTTTAGTGGGCAAAATCACACCATTAGAGTGATTCAAAGGAATTAGGAACTTGATTTTCAGAGGGCAGCCTAATGTGGTGGAAGGAATATGGTCCAGATCTACCTGACTCTGCTACACACTAGCTCTGCAACTTTGGGCAAATCCCTAACCTCTCTGAGATTCCATTTCTTCACCAGTAAAATCCTAAAGAAAGTACTTTCCTCATAGGGTTGAAGTGAAGACTAAAGGAGATTTCATTTGTAAAGTGCCTGGTCACTTGCAGGTACTTCCTACCCTGAAGACCACTGTTAAAATAGGAGTGACTCTTGGTCATTCCCATTAAAAATGAGCATGAAGAGGCTGGCCAAGTGGCGTAGTGGTTAACTTTGAGTGCTCCACTTCAGTGGCCCAGGGTTCACCCGTTCGGATCCCGGGTGTGGACCTAAACACTGCTCATCAGGCATGGTGTGGTGGCATCCCACACACAAAAAATAGAAGAAGATTGGCATGGATGTTAGTTAGATCAGTGACAATCTTTCTCAAGCAAAAAGAGGAAGATTGGCAACAAATGGTAGCTCAGGGCCAATCTTCCTCACAAAAAAAATAAATAATGAGCATGAAACTTATATCAACTGCATATTACATTTACTGAGTAATTTTATATGCTATTCTCAGTGTCAAAGGATTTTAACACAACACTGTGCAAGGTAAAGAATGAATGCTATTTTTATTTTACAAATATTGAAACTGGGGCACAGAAAGCTTAAGCTACTTGTCCAAAACCATATACAGAGAGTGGTGAAGTCCAGATTCATTAATTCCATAATAACATGCATCTTTCATTTATTGCATATCTACCAGTTGCCTATCTGTGCCAGGCACTGGCCTATGAACAAGGGTTACTAAGAGACAATTCTCCTGTTGCCTTGCATCTTATCTCATTGAGGGAAACAGACATTAAAGAGAGAAAATTAAATACATAGTATTTTAGAAAGTTATAAGTTGATGGAGAAAATTATAGCAGGAGCAAGTTAATAGGGAGCATCAGGAGTGCGGGAAGTTGAAGAAGGCCTCACTATAAGGTGACATCTGAACAGAGACGTAAAAGAAGCTAGGGAGGCAAGCAGGTATCCAGGGAAACAGTGATCCAGACAGAGAACAAAAATTTGCAAAGGCCTATGCTTGCTGCATGATTACAGCATTTAAGGAACAGCAAGGAAGCTAGTATGACTGGATAGAGTGTGGGTACAGAGATCTGGGAGGTAGCATCTGACCACAAACAGGACTTGAGGCCATACTATGCACGTGTGCTTTCATCCTGTGTGAGACGGGAGGTGGGAGAGTGACACAATTTGACTTACAGGTCAGAAGGGCCACTCTGCCTGATGGTTGGAAATGTACCAGCTTCTGGATACATTTAAAAGGAAGAGCAGACAAGACTTTACTGATGGATTGGATACGGATGTGGCCTGGCAAAACCCAGAATGGAACTGCCACTTCCTGAGAAGGGGAAAGCACTTCCTGAGATGAACATCATTGAAGCAGATACAGACAACATAACAGTAATTAACATTTTTGAGTGCTTTTTCTGTATTGGGCCCTTGGCAAGCACTTTTCATACATTATCTCAATCGGTCCTTATACCAACCCTTTGGATTTACCAGTGAAGAAACAGAGATTCAGAAAGGTTATAACCTGCCCAAGGTCATACAGCTACCAACTGGTAGAAACAAGCAGAAGTGCCTCTGAATGACCCCAAAATGAGTAGTCTTAATTACTTCTGTGTTCCCTACACTGAGAAGTATAAAACATAGAATAAAGTTCCAATGGGAAGGAAGTAGGAGTTCTAAGTATGAGGTGATGGCTTGTACCTAGTAGATACTCAATAAATATTTGTTAATGGATGAATAAATGAAAAATCAATGTATGGATGATGACTGGATAACAGACCAGACTTGGGTGAGGAAAAAACTCATCGAAGATTCCAATTCCAGAGAGAATAGACTTTGGATAATGGATATTCAAGTCTGTAAAAGGAGAAATGGCAGAAAGGCGGAAAAACCCAATATATCTTTGCCTGGACCAGCTGCAAGGTAAGGACAGGTCTTAGCATATTCTCTCGAATTGTTAGATGAAAAGGCAGGCAGGAGGAGATGACACATAGCATTTTACATAATGCAAATGCTGAATATAGGTTTTACAAATACAAATAGCAATAACAAAAGAAATAAAGTTGGAACTTCTTACTTTTAGTCCGATACAAGAAACCACACAGCCTTTTAAATAAAAAGCAACCTTTTAAGCCAATCAATGAAACCACCCTAAGTGGCTTTGCATAGATATCAGGATGGTGTTTGTGGTCCTCTAGCTAATTTAAAGGATCACATCCATAAGTCACTTCCTAGACTTCTCTTCACATTGTTTCAACCTTAAAGTGATTTTCTTCCCTTGTTCTTACCCTGCGGTCCTTGGGATAGCAGAGCACTGAACCAATGCAAGTTTTTAAAACAGAGAACCTAAAAGCAATGTAGGTCTGGCGTTCTCATCTGATGAAGACATTAGCCAACTTTTCATTGAAATGGCAAAATATTTATGAGCCTTTGCACACTCTAAAGTTGAAAAATAATCACCAATAATCCTTTAAAAATGTTTAGACCTCCTTTTCAGTGACATCTGTTTATGACAAAGAGTTAAATACAATACCAAAGAAAGCAAGTTAATGAGTAAAATAAAATTCATTCATATCTGAAATAATTTTTTAAATGACTGGTAGTTTAAAGAAGCAAATTAAATAAAATAGACAAGTACTGGTTTCTCATGACAAGGATCAGATGGAGATGGGGATAGATACCTGAGTCAAAATGTCAAAATCCACAAAGATTGGGAGCTGGGGGGGGGGGGGGGGGGGGGTTAGAAAGTATATACATGGCAAAAATTCAATGCTTTACAACAAAAATAGCTTTTACAAGGCTTCTACCATTCTTTATACTCAATAAACTGGAAGAACTATTTTCTAAAGACAAAATCAAACACTGCAATCTTCCTAGACGTCCTTCTATGGACTTCTGAGAGTATGTCATTTATAATTAAATGGGGAAATACATTTATTTAACAAACTTTTACTCTAAAATTTTTTTTTTGGTTCATGAGACTTACATCCACACATAAATACTAAAATAAGCATGTGATGTTTACTACCATCTCACACACACACTCAGTTTATTGTTCCACAGCCGGTAGAATGAATAATGGCATCCAAAGTGTTACCACATGGGTCAAACACACTTGTGGGCCTGTAGCATCTTGGAAAACAGGAATCGACAAATTAGCTTTATTTCGTCACGATGAAGTTAGTAAACACCCAACCCCTCAAGTTTGTTGTTTTGTTTTTTTAAGGAGAACACCCGTGACCTGCAACCTGTTAATTTAATTAACGGACAGCAGCTCGGGCTTTGATCGTCTCCTATCCTAGGAATCACTGAAGCGAGGGAAGTTCAAGGTCTGTTCTGACGACGTCCCTTACCCCCTCGGAGCCCAGGAGTTTGAGGTCCCTCGCAAGAGCCTCCCGCCGCGGAGGCTCCTCTGCCCTTAGCCACCAGGGCTGATGCGTTTGTCCCCGTCCCTGACACTTGCCCCTGCCTCTCCGCCTGCCCGGCCCGGGGAGGGAGGAGGAGAGGCGCCCGGGGGGTTCGGGCCGGGGTTCGCGGCCGCTTCCGCCTTCGCGGGCCGGGACGAGGCGCAGCCGGCGGCGGGTAGCCCGGCCCGGAGGGCTCGGCGGCGGTGGGGCGGCCCGGGCCCGCGTACTCACCCGAAGGGGCCGGCGGGCTCGGGGCGTCTGCAGGCGGCCGACGAGGTCGAGCGCAGCCCTCCGCCGCGCCGGCGGCCTCGCTGGGAAGCGCGGCGAGACTGGCCGGCGGCGTCGCTGCCACCGCGGCTGTCGCCGAGCTATAAATACCGGCCGGCCCACACCCGCCGCAGCCTACGCCGGGCGCCCTCAGCCAAGGGCTCCGGCCGCGGGCCGGCCAGCCGGAGCGTAAGGGCGACGGCGCGGCGCTGGGCACCGCGATGGCTCCAGCTGTGCGGCAGCCTCCGCAGCTGGAGGCATGGCCTCCCCCCGCCCCCGCCCGCTCCCTCCCCGCCCCTCCCCTCCCGCCGCCGCCGCGGGCCGCCTCCAGCCCGGGGGCCGCGCGCGCCGCGCCCCAGCCTGCCCGGCCCGGCCGCCTCTGCAGAGCGGCGGCTGCAGGCGGGCTGACTGAAGAACCGGGCGGGGGAGGGGGGCGGCCCGGCTGCAGCCCGAGGAGTCAGCAGCAGTCCCTTCCTCCTGCGGGAATCGGCAGACTTACAAAACCCACCATCCTGCAGGGAACCAATGAGCTTCCTGGGTGGACTGTCCTCAGAGAGCTGCAAACTTTCTAACGCAACCTCAGGTCGCAGAGCATCCTTTCTGCTTTAGTCTATTGGGGGCGTGGAGGGGTGGGGGTAGGGAGACACCCGCGAGGAGTATAAGTGTTATACGACTTTCCATTCTGTCTGGTCTGACACACACACATACGCAAGCATAGTCACACATATGTATACACACGTATCTATAAGCGCATGCATTCATACACACTTAGAGATGAACAAATATATATACATGCGTACATATGTATATACACATATATAAGCACACACATACATACATACATTTATAGGTAAGCACTGACATACACATGCACAATGGTTAACCTTTCTGCCGCCTGAAGATCTCGGGAGCCTAACGTTCTGTAGCACTTCAATGATTCCTCTGCAACTTAGAGGAGGAAGACCCTTTGACCACAATTGACCGGTTCCTTTCTTCCTGATGTAACCTCTTGTCCGTCCCATGTATGTATAGCCTTTGTTTCCTTCCACACCCAATAACTGCTACCTCAGTTTATGGGTTGCTTATAATGTATTAAAAGCTGCTGTCCAGCATACTGGTATTCCATGCTAGTGGAAGTGATCCCTAGTTTGTATAGCCAACTGGAAAATGGGATCATTCATATATGCCTTCAATAGCAAACTTATGAGAAGAAAACTAGCCTCTCTCCTGGATCTGCAGGATGATTCAGGAATGAGTTGGGTAGCAAAAGGGAGAGCTGAGATGTCAGCAGATTTGGGGATGGGATAGAGAGAGCCATTCCCAAGTTCTGCAGTGTAACTAATTGACACAGGGATAACTGGGGGTCCACTGCCATGCTTCTCATCAGTTTGACATCTTTTCTAGTTTCTAAGAATGACCACATATATCTACATTGCAGTCATAGTTTGAGATCATCTTATGGAATTCTTAGCTTAGTAAGATTCTCTTTAATGAAGTTTTCACATGTTTTCCCAGAAAGAGTTGTTTCCTATGCTAGCCCTTTGTACATTTTACTATGACACTTCCTACATTTACTGTAATTTTATGCAACGTCTTTTTTCTCCCCCACTAAGCTATGAACTCTTTGAGGGCAAACTAAATCTTACTCACCATTGCATTCCCAACACCTAACATAGTGACTTATAGTAACGGCTCAACAAATAGCATATTAATTCCACAGATTAATCATTAGAGTCTACTTGCTTTTATAATTACAGTTAGGATTATTTTACCAAGAATTATTAAACTATGTAACCGTGTAACAGAAATTCCATGTGCTGTATTTTCCTTGTATCTCCATTTAAAGCAAGGAGTCTTCAATCAGTTAAAACTGGAAAATATTAAAACTTCACAAATTATGCAGCATAATACTGAGGTCCGTGACTTATTAACAAACAAATAAAAACACAATACACTTTTCCGATCATTGAAACACAGCCTGTAAGTCACATCGTATTTCAAAGGATAGTGGAGTAAAAATCATTCAGCAGCTTCTCTTCTGTCTACTTGAGAGACAGAACTCACTCGATGGTCAGTTGAATTATATGGGTGCCTCCTAGGATGAACTTCAGTTCATTAGAACTGAAATGTCTGGCTTCAGTTATATGGACCTTGTTACCCTAGTTTCAGAGCCCTGTCTTCTTAACATATGGTCTTGCTTCCTCTAATAATAATTTTAAGAATAAGCTCAACCAATGCTTACTATGTGCTCTTACTTATACTGGAGAAGACAGTTCTCCAGGACCACTTCAAGGCAAAATATTGAAATGGGCAAGGTTTTCTTCGATATCGATGCTCCCTTTTCACCCCTGACCAAGAGGCTTGTGCCCTTTGCTTTGACAGCTGGGCAACATGGGACCAGGCAGGGAAACAGACTCTATATTTGCTCTTTGTCACAACAGCAGGTCGTAATAAAAGTTCAACTTATTGAAGGCTTATTGTGTACAAGGCCCACTCTGGTATTAAAACATTAAATCATTAAAGCATTCGATCTCTGCAACGTATGTGTGAGACAGATGCTGTTGATAGCACTTTCGCGTTTACCTTTGAGGAAAGAGACACACAGAGACAGTAGTTCATGCGTGATCTCACTGCTAGCCAGAGTGATGGAATAAGGATCAGAAGCCAGGCAATGTGGGCTCGCCAGTCCACATTTTAACCTCTCATCTTATACTTTCTCCCCATATACCAGGAATGGGATGTGGGTTTTATAATTAGAAGACCTAATTGTGGGTTTACAGTTAGGAATACGGAACATTGACGTGAATTCTGGTTCCACCACTTACTAGCTACAACTCTAAGCAAATTGCTGCTATAAAATTACAATGAGAAGCCCTACATCTGCCTTTCATCACCATTGAATTTGTGAGATGCTAGATCTAGATATGGACTTAGGGGTCCAAAGTAAGTCTTGTGGCCTGTTCAAGGACAGATCCTGCTCAGGATTTAGGCTACTGTTCTCCGTATTCTCCAGTCTCTTTCCATCTCATTCACTACCATGCAGGCCTGTTAGGTGCTGTAAATGCCCTAATGTGTCAGACACCAATAGAGTATCAGTTACATAATAGATAATAAAGGCCATTCTTCCTTCCCATCAAAACTTAACTGTTCTATGCAAGATTTCCTCAGTGCCAAAATCTATTGTTTTGGGACACAGATGGTGATTGCTTACTCACAGAAATGAACCATTTCTCCAGTGTTGGCCAGTAGTGTTTAAAAATGGTATAGATAGAAATCCTGGGAAGAAACCAAGATGGCAGAGCTTTAGCTCTCCTGTTCACCCCATGCATATTTTAACCCAAACCGTTCCACTTCTTTTCTATATAGGAGTTTAGCAAATTGACCACAGTTTCAGACAGTTTCAGGGCAATGAGAGAAATAATTTAAGTAGGAAACTCAAATCACACTATCCAACACCTGCCTACTCCAATTCCACATACAAAGTCAACCCTGCAGACAGCCTTAAAATGTGTCTTGTTTACATATAATTCCTTTGTAGAATCTGACTCAAGAGTACAGAAATCAGAAGTAACCACATGAGATGATGTTTCTCTGTTCACCTCACATATCCCAGTAGGTTAATAATATCATTATACTCTGTATTTTTTTAAAAAAGAAAAAGACAAGCTCAATATATATTTCAAAAATTGGTGAAAACTTTGCTTATGACTAAACTGTATCTTCTCTAAATGGTCATTTTAAAGCGAAAGGAAACATTAGCTGGAAGCATCAGTAATCTCTACCAAGTCAATCAGGAAACGCTTTCATCAGTGATTTGATGGACTGCAAGCAAAGCTATTTTGAATCTCCAATAGGTCAATCAGGATGATGCTAATTGCAAACTTCAAATATAAACAGCATAATTTGTTTGTTGCCAAAGGGGCAAGAATAGAAGTTTGAACATGATCCATCATTTTCTTCTGGTATTTAAAGGTCAATGACTCTACTGCCAGGATTTTCCTCAACAGTCCTAACTGCAAATGTCCAGCCTGATTGTACCTAATGTACACTGATATAGTTTAGGCCACGTGTCCTGAATTTTCCTTAGTAAAAGATGGTTATCACGTCTACTGCTTGGAGTACTAGAGTTTGTGGTCTGGAATCCTGGTTTTGCCACAAAGGAGCAAGGTAATATTAAGCAACTTACTTAACCTCGCTGTACATTAGTAGTACCTGCCTCACAGGTTGTTAGAGGATAATGTGTGTTACGCTTTTAACATATAGTCTGGTACATATTAAGTTCTCCATAGATGTTCTTTTTATTATCATTATTGTTCTTCTCATCTCTACCCTGCTTATAGTCTGCCTGCCTCACAGAATTTCTTTTACACGACTGAGTAGTTCATGCAAGGGGAGGCTAGCAATCATAGCAGAAGTAGAGCTGTCACCTGCTTGGTGGCCACCATCACCCCTGATTCATACATGGATCTTCCTAAAGAATCTGCACAAATGCAACAGTTCCGCCAAAGAGCCATTCCTCTTGTGATGACAGAGAGGGGCAACTGTTTCACTGCTCACTCCTTTCAGTTCCTTTCACCGCCTCTTCTTGTTTTCTCCTTTGACCCACATCCACTCTGGCATATACAGAGGCCCGAAGAATGGACCAGGGCCTCACTTCCAGGAAGTAGTGCTTGATCAAGATGGGTGATGACTTCAGCTGCAGGAATGTGACTCTTGGTTTTAAATGGCAAATTTGCCTTTGGGCAGCTTTGAGCTGATCTTCTCTTTCTTCCTGCTTGGTTTCTGCTAAAACAAATGTTCTTTTTCCTTCTTCAGACTGTTTCCAACAGACCACTAGGACAAGGTTTGATAGACCTAATCCAAGAGGGGGAGGCCTGATTTGGAGGAACACAAAAATATACTGGCCTTCAAGAACTCTCAATTTCATGTAAAGTACCAAATACACCACCCAATCAATAAACTTAGCCAAAGCAACTAGTCCATCAAAGCGTTGCAAGCTGCTGAGGTTTTAAAATAAATACAGCATGTCTGTTTCCTCAGGGAACTCATGATCTAAATGAGCAGACAAGATATGGCTTATGATCACCATAAATAGTTATACAAGGTGACATATGATCAGTGACAAATTGCATTTTACTGACTAGAAGGGCTATAGAAATTTGAAATGGAGAAATAAAGCTATCCTCAGGAATTGCTGTAGAAGACCAGATGGAAGAAGATACTTGAGGCAAACACCAAAGGATAAGGAGAATTTAGATGAGCAGAAAAAGGAGAAAGAAGAAATTCCAGGCCACGGGGA